CATAATCACTATCAGCCAGTGTAGAGTCATCTAAAGGTAATAGAAGTACGTTGGTTTATGCTGACTGAGGGCCTGACCCAAAATCTACAGAATTGTAGGTTGTTGAGTTTGGAAGAGACCTCTGGAGGGCCTCTGGTATCAAATTTGGATAGATCTTTTGATACAATAATATGAAGACACTTTTTCTTCCCCTCTAGCGTGAGACCAGAAAGAACAGCTAATTCAGGGCTATGTCAGACATCCTGGACCACAACTGAACAAGATGCAAAAAATAGCATCCTTCCTACTTTGTGGTTGTATTTTATTTGTTTAATAGCATAGGTAAGCCTGAAGCTTTATAGGTCTACCAAAATAAAGATGAAGTCAACAGCTTAGTGTAACAGACAAATTCTACATGTGAAAAGAGCAATCAGATCTCATGTGAATGAACTAGAAGGACAGACAAGCAAAAAGAAAAGAAGCTCAGGCAACTTGCTTTTCCTTCAGGAGGGATACAAGGAATTTGTACTGCCGTGTTTTATCAACATTCATGCTACTTTTTTGTTCTTTTACAACTTCATTATTGTTTGCTCTTAATCCATTATTACTTTTTCCACTGTAACAGCAAAACTCCTGATGAGAAAACAGTGATGTTTTTTACACAAAAACAGTGATGTTTTCTCACAGCTATTGTAATGGGTGTAGATTTTTTAATTTAAAAATATCATCCTCATCCAGCTGGTATGCATGCAGATTTAAGGATTTGGTCTGAATAAACCACTAGTTTCCACTTGTGATAGCCACATGAATCCTAGCAGAACACTGACTCCAGTAGCCTGGCAAACCTTCACTAGCCAGTACTTACCTCTGTATTAGGGCTTGTTGATCCACATTTTTAGCAAATATTTTGACATACAGCTTCTGAATTATTTTAATTATATATGAGGTAATGTTTCTCTTAACGTTGCTCCACCTTAACATTCTGCTCCTACATTTTTAAAAGTACACTTTCACGATTCTCAAGTACTTATTGAAAAACAAATTTACAATGCAGAAACTAAAAACAATTTCAAAACAGATTATGTATTGTTATCCCACCTGGCAGAATGCAACAAACATCATAATCCTATCTCACTTGCAACACAGTAATGCAGTTAATAATGGTCCTAGTGCTCTTAAAAGGAAACTTCCATTCAAGAGACAACACAGTTGTGAGAAAAAGGTACCATTTACTGCAGCACAGCCCTGCCTAAAATGCAGGCTGAGGTTTCCATGGTTAACCTAAATTAAAATTAATTCAATATTTTTTGGCAGAATGTCTATAAACTAATTTTCATATTTTCTTCTTCAACTATAATTAAAAACATAGGAGAAAGGCTTCATACGCCTCAAGTATGAAGGTATATTACAGTAGACATTTTTGGCTTTAAATTGCTACAATGCTTACTTTAATTGAGGCAAAATTAAGTGGGAAAGTAGAATGTCATGACTGCCTTCTGTGATTATACAGTTAATACACATACCCCATGCCTACAGGGCAATAACAGCCTGCATGCTAAATTTGGTTGCATGTTCTAGAAGGATGTGAACCTTAATGCAGATTTGATCTGCAGTCACCATACATTTCTGTTGCAAGAATTACTAATCAGCAATTCAGAAACAAGAGAAGATAGCAAGGGAACCTAATAGACTTTTTACAGCAATATTCAAAAGATATTAATAGTAAAGATGTGAAATGTATAATATCAAAGGGAAACGTAACTGAATAAAATGAAGAGTAGTTTGGCTTGTGTTCACATGCAAGGTCTGCTTTGTCTATATAATCAGTGAGCAGGCAGATTCAATGTGAGAAAAGTGCACAAATGGTCCAGGTCTCTCTGGATGTGAAGAAAGGACAAGAGATGCATCCAAAAGAATCCTCTCAGCAGATTAAAACCACTCTGATTCCATAAAGGCCTTCTGATGACTTCCTAGCAAGTAGTCCATAAATGCACAATCCCAGATTAAGGTCATCTTTCTCACAAGCACTCAAAGGCATGACATCACATTACAAACAGCTTTAATAAAAGCTGTTAGAGTTCACTGAATCATCATCTTACTGGCTTCTGTCTATCAAGTACATCCACTATTTGCAACTCTTCACAATAATCATCTACTAAACCGAATACATACACACTCTAAAATTAATTGGAAAAGCAGTAAAATAAACATGAAATATAAACTTTTTCCTCACTTCGCTTCTAGAATTAGAACCACACCCTGAAACGCAGCGACATTTTGTTAACATACAATTGCTACAACTGCTACTGGAGGTGGTGAGTGATTGCCTTTGCAACATTGTGGGTTAGACAACTCTCACATCTGGAGGATGAAGTACAATCTTGGTTTAGGAAAGGTATGTGGAGAGGTGGGGAAGAAAAGTGTATGTGTGTTTTCCTGAGGCCTGTTCAAATGCAGTAGTCTTACCCACTTTCCCATCCTTCTTACTCTAAAAGGCTGATACTCTTAAGCTAAAAAGAGGGTTTGGGTTGAAATAATAAGCATGTGCCATGTCTGGACTGAAACATATTAGCCTAGGTTTTTGAATAGCACTGACTCCAAAATAAATTCTATAACCACTTTTCAGTAAACAATTGGGAAAGGAATTGGTAAAATAAAGTAGTGGGATCTATTTCGTGTTTTGAATTCTCCACTAGCAAACAGAAACCCTCACTTAAAATAGAGGAGTTTGCTTTGACTAATTTAAAAATATACAAACAGAAGCAACCCTACTAAGAGTCTTAAAACTACCTTTATTCAGACAATGTGAGAAGAAAGAATTCTATTACTTGGAAAGCACTTTTCTCACCTCACCTTTCAACCATTATTTGCATACAACCCAAATCACACCTGGATAAATTCCACTGGCCTTCCTTACATACCATCATTATTTATTTTCATGTGGAACAGTTAATGTAAAGGATATTCTAATACTTCACCCAGACAGCTGATTGCAAATTAAACAGGAGACAGAGCTTCCACTGTGAAAACTCCAGAGGGGAAAAAGATCCACAGGTTAAATGTGGGAGGACCCAGAAAGAGAGGGCTGCTTATCCTCAGTAAGTGAAAAGTAATGGCTAGAAAAAGCAGAGAACAAAGTGGAAAGTGAGAAACAATGATCAAAGTTTGTAGGTATGTGAGATGATCATAAAACAATTAGATAGAAGCATGTAAGATGAAGCAAGTTCATTTGAATTAGACTCACAGGCATTAAGCAAGCCAGAAATAGCAACACTGCACAGGTCAGAAACTGTTAATTTTTCTAAAAGGCAGGCTAGGAGTTAAATTTCTCATCTGTCACAGGCTTTCTGGTTAATGGCAGGGATGTCACTCGGTCTGTGTCTCAGTCCCTCATCAATAAAGCTGGATGTTGTACAGAAAAGCCACAAATGATTCAGGTGACAGTCACTTGATAAGGGCAAGATATGAGCCTACAGAGACAGCTATACCTCACAGATCCCTGCTGAAGAAAACAAAAAGGAGAGAGAGGAGGAGAGGGAGAGAGAGAGAGACTGGCTACAATGACGACCTACCTACCTACCTTAATGTTAGAGAGGAACACAAATGCCCATGACAGATGGACATACAACCACAAGAAAGATAAAAGTCTGAGCACAAAAAGCCTGAAGAAGAAGAAGAAAAATTTCACCAGCTGAGAAGGGTGGTAATACAGAGACAGGTATATTCAAATGATAAGGCTGACTATAATTAAAAGCAGAACAAATCTCTGAGATTACTCTCAAAGGAATGCCCTCTAATTTCAGGGAGGTGTTCTGTGGTTACTAGCCACTGCTAGGAATAGTGAATACAGTCTATTAGTATCAAATATACATGAGAAAAGCATGGGAAAGTTATGGACAGGAAGAAATAGGATGTCTGCTTGCAGTGGAAGAAAGGAAGGGTTGGGAAACTTCTTCAAGTACAGAGAAAATGGAGAAAAGACCCTTGTCACACACAGCTTCAGCCTAAGAAGCCTAAAAATAGATTAATACATTCAGGTGTGACTTGTGGGCAGAATGGAGGACAACTTGTACAAGTAGTTATTAAATAAGATACAGGTAGTCACAAGAGGAACCTCATGTACCAAAAGAAGCAAGCAAAGAAGACAAGCAGTCTGCAAACAGATTATCTTATTGCAGAGAGAATCAAGGGGCAGAGGAGACAGACAGTTGATCAGAGATGAAATTTTCCCTGAGGGCACAAACAACCCTCCAGAATACATGTGAGTTTATTTGAGAAGGTTTGAGCATATAAGGGGGCCAGAGGGAAACATGGGAATAAGTGGCACTGAGGCAGCAAGTGATCACAGTGACAGTATTTCTTCATAAAATGCTGAGCAACTCCCGGAAATCCTTACTATCCCCTCTGGACATTGCCCCTCATTATTTGTTCTCAGCAGAAAAAGAGCTTTTCAAGATGTACGTTTGTAACCAACAGCATATGTATAAGTTCTTGCTAAGTCCAACTTCCTTCTTTGCTATTTATTATTTTCAGAGTGGTAAGTATGATTAAGTAATATACAATGACTGTGAGAGGCATATCCTTGTCCCAGGTAAACTTCTCCTGCCCTATAAAGTCTAAAAGCACAAAACAGATCAGGGGTGGGAGAAAGCAAATAATACCATCTCCCTATTGCAGACTGAGAACTGAGGGAGAGAGCTAGGAAGTGAATTTCCCAGGATTTCACAGGAAGTCACTGGCAAAACTAGATATTGAAACCCTCTCTCTTCAATATCTATCTGGTGCTATCACATTGCAGTGTATCTCTTCTAAGGACATTCCCTTTCATTCTCAGAGTGTTCTGGTGACAAGTCTTAGACTGAATGTATATACTGAGTGTATACAGCTTAAAGTCTTGTTGTACACCACATTGTACATTTCTCTCTCTCTCTTTCCAACTTCCTTGCAGCCACTTTTGGTCTGCGCTCAAATTAGCAGTGCTACCACCTTCATCCACAAAGTCAACGTTTTTATGTACTTACAGTTCTGTTGGTGAAGTTACTGAAGTCTGTCACTAAGATTTGCTTGATCATGTCAGGTGAGGAGACCACCACAAACATCTGGCGACCAATGTAATACCTACAAAGAAAGAGTCAATTTAGCAGAGAGTGACAACAGAGAACCATCTCCTTCCCTAAAAGACCTCTTTTTGCTTGAAAATACTTGCCATGATCAAATATCACAGAAAACATATTCCCTTTGGTAAGCAGTATTTTTCCCCAGTCCTCTCAACAATTAAATTAAGATGCATGGTCCTGGAATTTAAAGGAAACAGCTTAAAATCTTTCACTGATTAATCAATACTCATCCAACATTTTAATGTAAAGGTTTGTACAGTCTATGCACACTCTGAATGCTGTACAAAGTGATGCAGTATCACTAAACCAAACAATAGAGAAGCAAAACATTAGCAATCAACAACCCGAATAATCCTTGAAGACTTACAAAATAGATTTTCCTGCAGTTAGCCACATGATGGCAAGGCCTTGTCTACAATGAGCATTTCTAGAAGTCCCCCCCAGTGTGACTGCAATAAAGGCACACTTCTCCGCTTCTACTAGCACTGGAACTGTGTGCATCTCAGACCCCAGGCTCTGTATCACCATGGACATAACAGATACCGTCTGAACCTTACGTTATACCAATAGGGAGGGGGAAAAAAAAGAAGGAGAGGTGGGGGAAAGAAAAAAGAATTGTTTACCAAGTCTAAGGAAATTAATAAAGCTTTAGAAGAAGAATAGGTGATAGGGGTGTCTCTGCCTGTACACCGTCTATCTCCCTGCTCCCAGTTTAATCTGATCTTGTGCAGCCATGGTATGTCCTTGCGTGTCTTCACATTGTTCTGGAAGCTGCAGAGGTACTGGGACCCAATCCAACACCACAACTCCTAGGGGTGCAGACCTCCCTTCTCCAGCACCCTTCCCTCCAAGGCCCACAGGTACTTCCTGCTTGGTTGTTCTCCCAGGGAAGGAAGAAGTACCACTAGCAAGTAGAGGTTGCTTGCAGTCCCTACCTTTGCTGGTTGCTGGACCAGAAAGATTACTCAGGTGGTGCTGTCTTTCCTCCACCAGGAGAAAGGAAGAAGAGGCTGGAGGCAGGCACAGGAGGGATAGGCAGCTCATAGCAGAACACAAGAGCAACACCACAGATGCTGCAAAACCATGGTAATATCTGTGCCTAATCATTTTTGTATGATATAGCTTAGTATCAATATATTGCTTATCACCTGTCTACATTGCAGCAACTGAATAGACAAGCAAACCCTGGGCTGAATTAAATATAGTAACTAGAGGTTCCCATGGCAATGAAGCTGCAGCAGCCCAGTTTCTCCAAGGGCAAACAAATCAGACAAATATCTGGATTCCAAAGCAAGGTTTCACAGACTACCTTGACGCCCCTATCACCAAAACTCATAACAAACAAATGGCAAAGAAGAGTAAGAACACAATTTTCTTCAGGAAGATAGATATCATCTTTTCTTCTCTGGTGGGTTTCCAGAGGAAACTTTTATTTCCCAAATGCAATCCACAGGCTCTACTCAAACCTTAGATGTGGGTGGTGCAGTCTGTAAAGGTAAATCCTTTTCACCCCTCCCGGTTTGTTTGACCACAGCAAAATAGCTGTCTCTTAACAATCAAACTTTTATTCAGAATCCCAATAGGTGCATACAAAAGAGCTGACACCTCATTTTAAACAGGGGTTTGATCGCAGACTTTGGCAAAAGAGGATAATGCCCTACGTGCACCTTCTGCATGTACTTTGTAAAGTTTTTTTGGCATCAAAGAGACAAAGCAAGCTCTCAGGGCAAAGACCCAGCCACGAATACTGACCTCTCGTGCTCATACTTTGCTTTTCTCTTCCTCTCTCCAAGTTTATCAAGTTCCTTGTCACATTTAATGGTTAGTGACTGATGGTCCTGCAACACATAGTTTTTTACAGGGACCAATTTCCTGACACCAGATTCCAAATCACAATCAGAAGCCAATTATGTCTACCCAGATAGCCTTACTCTGACCAGGAAGAAGCACCACATGATACATCATGCAAAGCATGTGTGTGTAAGAGAGACACATTTCTAATTTATTTCAAACCTGGGAAATTGCAGAGCTCCAGCTCCTGTCCAATGGAATAACAGGCCAGTACTCACAGCAGGAGTCTTTATGTCACAGCGCACTTTGTGCTTGAAAGCATTCAGGACTAAAAATTTGGGACAGGAGCATCTCCTACTCAAGCTGCTTTTATGAGAAAGTGACTCACAAGCCAAGCTTATGCAAACAAATCTATTCATCATCCTCCAACTCAGACCAGTCACCCGAACTCCCAGTTCTGCTTCCACAGCTAAGCTCTTTCTTTTTTATTTACTCTTTTCTAACTTTCTAACTATAGGCACCTGCTTTTCCTTTCCTTATCCACTTATAAATAAGGGCAGAGAAGGAGAAGAGAAAAAAGATAACCTACAACCAATAAGTTGAAAATTCTGGAAAAAAAAATCTTAAATTGCTATTTAAGCAAAGTTCTGCCCGTTTTAAGGAATGACTGCTGTAAAGCACACACCACCATCTCTTATTGTATCCCAAACAGCAAAGGCCTTTTTCCTTCCTTTTTTCCATTCTCCTGTTTTCTGTATATGATCTCTCTAACCTTTTCTAGGACACAAAAAGAAGAGTGTGTGTATGGACATGCTTTGGAACTCAAGATCCACAGGCTAGAAGCATGACTTACATGATCTTCCCCTCAAGTTAAGGAAAAAGGACAGGTAGAACTAAGCATGAAACAAGATCATCTGAGCTATTTCATTTAGCCAACAGAAGCTCAGGACCTGCAAAGCCACCAGAAAGATGCTTAACTGAGTTTTAACATATTTAAAATCCTTTGCAGGATCAAGGCTTCAGTCACACACCAAGAGAATATCTCCTAACTAGGCATTTTGGGGTTTTTTCACTTCTTTTTCAAAATGGCATGTAAAAGATAAAATCCTCCTGAACAATAATCTATTCTTCCCAAGTAAATAACATAGTTCACCCCTGCCATGTAACTTCATTTTGATTCTGTATTACTACATAAGGATATCACCAATCTCACATAGACTTAGATTTATTATTGAGCAAAACCTGATATTCTTGTCAGATTTTAATAAATAAGAGTTTGAGAAAAACAAAAGCCTCTGGGCAACTGCATTGCAAATGGATTCATGAATAATTTAGGACAGCACTTTTTATTAACTTTTCTTGGGTTAATCTTTTCACGTGGCTCATTCACACACAAAAGTCCTACCGTTAGCTAGAGTACCATTACACTGCTTGACCCAACACTTTGTACTATTTTCATGTAGGGCATTCAGGGCATAATGCAAATGCTTGAGACTACCTAGCTCACTCCTGCAGAGAAGCAAGAACACATGCATGTAGTCTGGTATCCTCAGGGTGATGCAACTCCGTCCACATTGAAACACTTGTGGAAACACTTACTGCCATAGCAGTAAAAATAAATTTCATCACCCATGCACAAAGGCAATTTTCCTGTGTAGATGAGGCCTCAGTTATTTAAGTTATGCTGTTGGGGAAATTTCTATTATATTTCAGTTTAAACCACAGCTGTGCAAAATAGAGAAAAAATTCCACCTTTTGGACCAGTAGTTTTAGCTCCATTGGAAGGTGAGACAGGAAAAACCTGGTACCAGTCTATTAACGGCACAAGGACAGTGTCAGCTTCCTCCAGCAAATGAGAGTGCAGATCAGGAGCCGCTGCCCTAGCAGGCTGCCAGGGCAGAAGCAGGAAGCCCTGTGTTGCATCATCCTCAGGAGGGCCAGGCAAAAGTTTTTCACAAGTGTTCAACGGAAGGTATGGATCTATTCCCAGAAGTTATGGAAAAGGTAAAGGTTACCAAAGGGCTCACGGGTCAAGGAGATGGTCAGGTTACAGGATATTGAACAAAATGAATTGATCTTCATCCAAAGTGTTTTAACAACTGAAGATGCAATAAATACCAACTGCAGCAATTTGGTTCATAAGAAAAGAGAAGCACAACTCTTAACGCAATTAATGACAAGGGCAGAGACTACTGCCTTAGGTTCAGGTTTCACCCAGGATGTTGTAGTCCTCTTTACAATGATTTAGTAATTTAGAAAATGCATCTCTTTTTTTTTTATCTACAAGAATAAAAATCAATCTAGCAATGTTTTCTGCTCATGCACCACCATTGCTGGCTGCAGAGATGTGGCCTAGGTGTCTGAAACCACACCTAGTGCCTGCTGTGGCCACAGCAACACTCAAGCATGTCATCTTCCTTCCCAAGGTTTGCCAGGGAGTCCCCCAGAACGCAGATTTCTTTTCTCAGACTATGTAGCAGATCAATCAGCTACTTCTAATTTGAAAGACCAATCTAGCATTATCTTTTCTGTGCTCCCAAGATCATCCTGGCCACACTGCACGGTCATCAGCTGCCAACAGCATCCCTCAGATCCCAAGCCACCGATGTGCTCACAGCAATGTTACCTTGTTGTGCAGGAAAAGGTAAGAGCACATATAGTACCTTATGGCAAAGGGCCATATGTTTTTGTATAACACCCATGTGGGAAACACCTGCAACTCTTTCACCTTGTTTATAGTGCTGCTGTCAATTCAGAGAAGACTTTGATCTCCCTCTATTATCAGTCCCATGTTTTATAAACACATCATATTAATCATAAAACATATACATGCTGTTAGACGATTAAACAAGGCTTTGTTTTCTATGGTGTGGTCTGGCAAAGTACACAAAGATCATCTGCAAAGCCATATGAAAATCGGATACTTTGTTCTCTCCATCTTCCTCAGAGAAGAGCAACGAACAAAGGAAAAAGGTGGGAAGGGGAAGGAGAGGTATGGAAACATATACAGATACAGCGGGAAAGGCTAATTTTCTTAGGAGATATTTCCTTAAAAGAAGTTCCTCGATCACTCTGCCTCTTTTGTTTGGAGATACCCATTAATTGCAGGCAGAGAAATATAAAAACGAACAGCACACTGCTTGTTTAAAATAGGACTGAAGCCTGGCATTACTTACTTAATTATTTCAGAGCAAACTGATTTGTCATGAG